TAAGTATCGCAGTACTAAAATGGGTTCTCAGAAAATAATCTTTGTTCTGATATACTCTTACTGATCAGCTTTTTGGAGATTTATTTTCAGTAATTTTTAAAAGTATTTTTGTCAGTGTCACATATAGAAAATGGATGTTCAGTTATTTTCCTTTTTGTGTTCTGTGCATTGTTCCTTCTGTTATGTAGATACATTATTCCCACTGAGAATTAAATAAAGTCTGACTCATACAATCTGTTCTCAAAATTAAATCAGAGGAATAAAAGTTATTGTTTCAAAGAGTTCTATGTAAAAATAGGAAGATGAATTAGAGTTTTCATCTATTAAAAAACTGGCTTTTCCTGCTACTACTCAGTTGCTAAGTATAGGCTTCCTATTAAATGAAATTTGAAGGCATTTGTGGTTTACAGTGAGATAGCTACTTCACAGTTTCTTACCTTTCAGCTTTAAAGGAACTGTCTCCCATCAAACTGGCAGTATTAAAATTTATGATTAATATTTCCTAAGGAAATACGTATAAATGTTGCTGTGATGTATTGTATAGGGTAGGTTTTTCTAGGTTGTGTTTCATAAGATAAGGGTTAAAACAGCAATAGAAGACCAGCACTGTAGTGGATAAAGACACCACCTGCAATACCTGCACTCCATTTAGGAACAAGTTCATGTCCAGGCTGCTCCACTCTGATCCAGCTCCCTGCTAATGCCCTGGGAAAAGCAGCGGAAGATGGTCCAAGTGTTTGGGCCCCTGCCATCCACATGGGAAACCCAGATAGAGACCTAGATGGACCCAGGCTCCTGGCTTTGGCCTGGCCCAGCACTGGCTGCTGCGTCCATCTAGGGACTGACCGAGTACATGAAGATTCTTCTCTCTCTCTCTCTCTCTCTCGTCTCTCTCCCCCACCCCGTCTCTCCCTCTCTCTCCGCAACTCAGACTTTCAAAATAAATATATCTAAAAAAAAGCAGTTGAAATACATTATTTCCACCTACTTCATGTTTGTATGATACTCCTTGGAACTACATATTTAACTCCTATTTCTTATTGCTCATCGAATTTGCATTTCCACAATGGCGAGGGATTTTTATTTCAAGTATTGTCATGAAGTTCCATTAATATAGGGATAGATATGTGCTCTTGTCACTCACAGAGAAAACAATGGCATCTCCTCTTCAAGCCCCAAATACTGAACATTTCTCCACTGAGGCCAGTGTTTGAGGTTGTTCATGACATGAAAGGGGACAAACACCGTGGAAATTATGAACCTATGTTCCGTAAGTTCTAGACAAACCACTTTCTTCTATTGAAAACCTACTTTTTATACTTTTTATATTTGCAGCCGTGGAAATTTCCACGTCATGGATATTGCCCATGTGCACCTATGTGGAGCCATAACCTGTTTAGTGTCTCTGAAAACAACCAGATGACATGCTGTCATCATTATTTTTATGTGTTATTGAGGATTTCACCAATTTGTTCAACGTGCTTTAATTTTGATGCTGACTTTTATTGAATGCCTCCTCTCCATCTTCCACTCATTTCCTCCCTAGGGAATGCTCTACACCCTTAAAGGAACATTTAGCATTATCACCAGTTAGTTTTAATTAACTTCACATACTTGACTGATGGTATGCTAGATGCCAGGAAAAATAATTTAAATAGATCTGGTCTCTGCCTTCTAGCCATTGCATATTAAAGCATGATAGAATGAAATGCTATTTTTAATTGGCCAACCCTTACAAGTGAAAAGTTTTCATGTAAAACTCTTTAAAAAAACAGGCAATTGAACTGACTTCCTCCATGAAATTTTGCTTAATGATGCCCAGGAAGTGAATAATTGTGCCACTTTTGATTCCTAAGAATCTGAAAGTGACCTTGGCAGCTAACAATTGGCACCTTACAGCAATGTTGAAATATCTTTAACAAACATAAACAGTTCTCCAGAAAATAACCTGTGATCAGATAAAGCACTCCTTTATCTGATTCTCTGTTTTATTCTGGTTTATCTGTTCTCCTGCAGGGGGGATAAGACAAAGACAAGTCCATCCTATGTTTAAGACACTCAATAATCATAAAAATGATTAATTACTGTTTCTTCATATTAGCAAATATACTCTGCTTTAATATTTGTCTTCTAAGTCAAATCACTAATATATCCACCACTGAAGAACTTTTAATCACGACAGCACTCAGTCCAGAACCTTCTTTTGAATGCTCTATACAAGCCCAAAGCCTATAACAAGTTTCCCTTAACTCTTTCTCACCTACACCCAGTGATTCATTTGGTATGTTTTCTCCTCTGTCAGAGGAATCTGAATCTAACTCGCTTGATTATTGGCAGGGTTCTGGTGCTCTATGGTTGGCAGCCATCTTCAACAATGCTAAACTTGATTTTCTATTATGTTCTTTTTATCATATGTTGAAACTCACAGCTAAAATAATCAAATATTATTTCTAAAAAGTCTTTGTTTTGCATATAAGTACAAAACATTCAAATAATATTCTCTCAAAACATCAAATTATACAATTTATTATGTTTCTAAATGCTCATTGATGAAATCAGAATAAAAATGGGAAAGCAATTGACATTTATTCAAAGTCTATTACATGCTATTAACTTGACTTAAGTTGTCTCCTTACAGGAATTAATTTTGTAGCTTATAAGCAAATCCTCACAGGAATTAATACTCTAGTTTACAATCAAATCTCAAGCAGTTTCATGAATTTTCTCAAGGTCACACTACAAACAAATGTTGAAATTTAGAGATAATCTTCCTTTGGGCTCTTATGTATGCTTCTTTCTGAATATGTTTCAAGTAGAAAAGAAAGAAAATTAATGAAACAAACTTATTATAAAGCATACACATTTTAATAACTAGTAAATCTAGAATAATTAAAAAGCAATAAGCATATCATAATCATTGATTTAGTCTTATTAGCATCCTTGTTGTTTCTAGAAATGGAAACAGAAGCATGCTCCTGCCCCAGGACCTATATATTATCCCCTATTACGCATTGCACACACACACACACACACATGCCCTCACCTTTTTTTTTTTTTTTTTCTGTTCTTGACAGGCAGAGTGGACAGCGAGAGAGAGAGACAGAGAGAAAGGTCTTCCTTTGCCGTTGGTTCACCCACCCTCCAATGGCCGCTGTGGCCAGCGCGCTGCAGCCAGCGCACTGTGCAGATCCCAAGCCAGGAGCCAGGTGCTTTTTACTGGTCTCCCATGTGGGTGCAGGGCCCAAGCACTTGGGCCATCCTGCACTGCACTCCCGGGCCACAGCAGAGAGCTGGACTGGAAGAGGAGCGACCAGGACAGAATCTGGCGCCCCGACCGGGACTAGAACCTGGTGTGCCAGCGCCGCAGTTGGAGGATTAGCCTAGTGAGCCTTGGCACTGGTCGCCATCACCTTTATTCACACACATTTGTGCTTCCTTATTGCCCTCCTCTGCTTCATTTTCCTTGTGTAATTCTTCTCAATTTGTAACATGCAGAACATTGTTTTTATTGATTTTGCTTTTCTGCCACCCTTACCTGGAACAAATGGCCTAAGAGCAATGAAGTGTATTGTGAGTGGTGGTGGTGGTGATAGTGAGTTTGACACTTGGAGAGAGTCTCCATTTGGTTTGTTATGCTTTCTGGACAGTTCTGTAACCTCAGTGCCCACAACAATGTCTATTTTTGAAAGACACTCAATGAATTCTTACTGAATAAATAAATAAGAACAAAACATGATGAGGCAAACCAGAAAACAGTATTTAAAATTTAACATTTTAGAATGTTATGCCGGCGCCGTGGCTCACTAGGCTAATCCTCCACCTTCTGTCGCCGGCACACCGGGTTCTAGTCCCGGTCGGGGCGCTGGATTCTGTCCAGGTTGCCCCTCTTCCAGGCCAGCTCTCTGCTGTGGCCCGGGAATGCAGTGGAGGATGGCCCAAGTGCTTGGGTCCTGCACCCCATGGGAGACCAGGAGAAGCACTTGGCTCCTGGCTTTGGATCAGCGCTATGCACCAGGCGCAGCGTGCCGGCCGCAGTGGCCATTGGAGGGTGAACCAATGGCAAAGGAAGACCTTTCTCTCTCTCTCTCTCTCTCACTGTCTACTCTGCCTGTCCAAAAAAAAATGTTATGTACTTCTTTATCATGGAAACACGAAGTCCAATATTTCATCAAAGATGGCAGAAGCAACCAAAAAAAATTTTCATTATCTAGAAAATCAAAAATATGTTACAGAAACTATGATCTCCTGTCTTCTCATTTCTGCTGTAACTTATATGTATCATTTCATTCACTTTCAATTTGATAAATATTTATGAGTTACCTACTCATACCTTGGACCTGCCAAGTACTAAAATTGCCTTGATCAGGAGGCTACCTGTTGCTAGTGGTATGGCCCAACTTCTACCCTTCTAAGGAGACTGTTTACCTTGCTATCATGAGTACTCAGTAGTACAGTATTGGCCAGAAGGAAGTTAGCACTGCTCCTTGTTTCAACATCACACAACAGTGTTATTGTTAAATAAAATTTATATAATATCAACAAAGAAAACATAATGATTGTATCCCAACATTGAAATAGACTTAGTCTATTTCATAAAGAAGGTAAAACTCAGTTCAAGTTTTCAGGCTTATCTGAGAAGTCACATGTGTAGTAACACAGTTATTTTAATATAACCAAATTCAACAAGGCTCGTCTCAGACTCCTACCTCTCACTGATTCTGCCCAAATTATCTCTATTTTCCCCTTATCGCTAGGCACACACATATATCAGGCCATGATTTGGAACATACAACTGTGAGTATCAACCTGATAAGATTTCTTTGTTTTCATCATTGTCAAGAATGACATTCAAAGAATACTTCCCTTTGAGCCTGATTGGTAGCTAAGAGATTAGTCTTTACATCATTTTACTGTAGATTTTGCTGCACGTTTGCTGTAAATTCAGGTAGCTTTGAACTGTTGTAAACGCGTATAAAGGGGGATTAGTAGCGATTACTTACAGTGTATTTCTAGCACCTGCATGGCTACCTGAGGGGTGGCATTGAGGGATTCGTGGTCGACTCGGCAGATCACGGCCACTCCGTCGTCACTCCGGTCCACTCGGAAATCCAGTGTGCTGCTAACAGTGAATGTTTTGCGGTTGGCATCTTCTTCTTTTAAATATTTGACATCTGAAAAATAAAAGACGAACTTAATAATGTTTATATGACATCTTTCAAAACATAGCATATTTCACCTTCTCAAGACCCTGAAAGCACCTTTTCACTATTCTAATCGATTAAAAAAACACAAATATTTGTTAGTTTAACATTTAATACATTGTGATTTGATCAAACAGAAACAACTACAATAAAATAATGTAAACATTAGATAGGGAAAAGGATGCACAGCATTTTCTTTCTTTATTCTCAAGCTTACCTAGACTATAATCAGGTGCAAGATACTTTTTACACTCCATTTGAAAAAATGCAAGCCATTTTATAGAAGCAATCTCTCCTTTTGCTTAAAATTTTACAAAAAGAGAATCCTAATTAACTGAGCCACGAACACAGTTGGAAAGAGCAAATTTGTAACTATCTGGTTATGTCTGAAAGAAAGTACAATGAGCCATGATTTTTACGGGAATAATATGAAGGGAACATAAATTACTAAAGAATACCTAAAATGAGAATGTTGTCATCTTTGGTAAGAAAAGAATGAACATAGTCATCTGAATAGTTTGAAATTTAAATACATATTGGCAGAGGATTTTACATTGAGAAAAATGCTCTTCACTTGGCTGAGGAAGCCATTTCAGTATCAATGAGAACATTCTCCTTAAGATGTGAATTCACTACTCAACACTTAAACTTAATGTGCATGATTCAAATCCATCATTAAATGGTGCACTTAGAGTATTTATTCTTTGGGGAACAGACATCCAATAATATTTTCATTTAATTTGTAATTCTCAAGTCTGAAGTAGCTGATAAGAAGAGGGCAATTTTAAAAGATTAGAAATCAAAATGATAGGCTAAGGTTAAGATATTATAACAAGATCCTTAATGTAGTTGAGGGAAAATGTGTCCCATTTTCTTATGCTTCCTCTCATTTATTTCCTCCATTATTCAATATCAATTGAGCAATGATATTTCAGAAAATGGGTTATGCATAAAATGCATTAAATATTTAACTTACTACATATCAAAAATATTTTAGAACTTGTTAATAACCAACAACAAACCTAAATTTAGTTTCCCTATTTTTTATGCTTTATGGAAAGATTTTCTTTTTCTTTTTTTTAAAGATTTATTTATTTTATTTGAAATTCAGAGTTAAAGAGAGAGAGGAGAGGCAGAGGGAGAGAGAGGTCTTCCATCCGATGGTTCACTCCCCAAATGGCTTCAATGGCCAGAGCTGCGCTGATCAGAAGCCAGGAGCTAGGAGCTTCTTCTGGGTCTCCCACGTGGTCCTTGGACCATCTTCCACTGCTTTCCCAGGCCATAGCAGAGAGCTGGACAGGAAGTGGAGCAACCGGGTTTCGAACCAGCACCCAGATGGGATGCTGGTGCTTCAGGCCAGGGCATTAACCCCACTACACCACAACGCTGGCTCCAAGATTTTACTTCTGTAATAACATTGAGGGGACATTTTGACCAGCAGTTAAGAAAATGGTTAAGGTGCCCATGTGGGAGCCCCTGAGGTTGATTCTCAGCTCTGCTTCCCTAACTCCAGCTTCCAGCTAGCATGGATCCTGGGAAGCAGCCAGTGATGGTCAAGTAACTGGCTTTCTGCTACCACATGAGAGATATGGATTAAATTCCCAGCTCTAACTTTGGCCCAGACATTGGGGGAATGACAGCAGATCAGAGGTCTCTGGATGTCTGGCTACCTTCCTCTCTTTTTCTTACTCTTTGCCTCCTAAATAAACAAGTGAACACTTAAAATAATATTGAATTTTACATATTTGATGAGTATTAGTTAGGTTTCATATTATTTATGTTTATGAGACTAGCGTGATAGAATAGCATTTTCTTATAGTCAGAATTTTAGATCTTTGGTATCACCAAGAATGAAGGTGGAAAAAATAACAAATGTAAGGGTGAGACTACTGTAGCTTCCAAAATAAATAGATTTATGTGCTTTGAATTATATTATCTGGGAAACAAAGCAGTCATTCAGATTTTTTACATTCAAATAATTTAATAAAATATAAGATGTCAGGAACTACCTCCACATTTATCTTTCCTTAGTTTATAACATTAGGCTACCTGTCACTATGTCTACTTTCTGTCCATATTTAGATGGGAGTTTTAGAAAGAAAATTCTCCTAGGCAATTTGCGTTTTTGCAACAGTGTTTCTAAACCCCCCTTGAGCAGTATAATCTGAACAGTTCTGATTTATTTGCTCTCTTCACTTTTCTGATTTTGATACCATTTAAACAGAATTGAAAAGAAGATACTTCCATTTTTATAAAGTGAAATTGCTTCCCTCTGTCTAGAAGTAGACCTCTAATAAATCAGCTCAATACTTAGAGTGGATCAGTTTCTTAAAACACTGCAAGGCCCCTAAGCTACCCTGAAGACCAGACTGGACTTAGATCCAGCCTTTCTGTACTGATAACTGCCAAAAAAAACTCCTAGGAAGCAAGCAGCAAATTACGTGACATCCACTACTGAGGCCATGAATCCTCTAGCCCTGAGCGAAGCAACAAGATCTCAATGTATGTTCCAATATTGATCCTTACAGAAAAATAGAAATTGAACATGAACATTATTTTCTAATTCAGGGTTTATTAAAGTAGTTTTAATGATAATTTCAGTGGAAGAAATTAAAGATTTATTCTGACTCCACATCACTGATATTAATGGTACTATGATGATTTCATTTCATCCAGTGGGCTGGGTGAATGCCTGTTGCTATACAGAATAGAAAATGTGATCATTACATGAGAAATATTTATTATCAAACACTTTGCTTTGTTTTAAAACTTACAAGTGACCTTATTAGAGGACTCAGCATATGTAATTACTGCTTAACAGAAATTCTACAGATAAATTTTATAAAACTACATACTTCATTTTTAGAAGATGTCCAAACTATCCATATTTTTTCCTTGAATTCACATAAAATAACTATGTCTAACTAACTCATTCAGTAACTTAGATGCATATTTTGAAACCTAGTTTGTTTGAAGGGAATGTTAAATGTTCAAAGGTATTTTATAAAATAAAATTTAATGGAGCTTTCCATTTTATGTTTGCTTTAAACTTTCTCCAGTCAAAACATAATGAGAACAACTCCTGGATTTTATAATTTTAAAATCTGATAATCTTTACATCTGTACTCTGGAGAAAATCTCAATACAAATTCTTTAGGCCAATCTCATCTATGAGAAGTTCTATATACAACTCCAAGCTGAAAGGGCTTAACTATAAAAGAATTCTTGTTACAATATTCAACTTTCAAAAGAAGGCATCAGTAATAATCTTTGAAAGTATAATCCCATTATTAATTCGTAACATCGAATAACTGTTTCATTTGGCCAGGAATACTATCAAAACATAGCATTTCTTGGTAGGTCTTAAAAGGACAGTTGAAACAATAATGAGGATGATTTATCTAAAGATTCTAAAATCTCGTTTTCAATGTCCACGACTGGTAGAATGTTAGTGTTTGCTTATCAAATTTTTCTTGGATCTTATCCCACAGGTCTACATTCAAAGGTGCTACAAGAACCACTTATATGTGTCTTGCTACATTTAACCCAATGTTTAACTACATACAATATGTATATATTGTATAAAGCATGAAGAGTCAAAGAAGAAATCCTTTTCTCTATATGTTTATCACCAGAAAATGGTAGACAGCTTGTACAGCTGGTTTGTGGCTATGATAACTGACTGTGTCTCTTTCGCTGTCATAGCTAAAAGGTGTTCAACAACAATGTGCGGTCCACTATCAGTACAGCCATTTATAAAGAGTATGCTCACTAATCTCACAGTTTCTTCATCTTATTTTTCTACCCCACTTCGGTCACTGATTCACTTTTAATATCTCCAATTTTTATGCGATCTGTTCTTTGGATTCCTGCAAATCCTTTAAGAATAAACTGAATTAGGAGTTGGTGATCTCTCAACCTGAATTATAAAGAGTCATACTTCCTCGGAAGTACTAGACCCAGTTCAGACACTGCTCAGTGGCACAGGAGCAAAACCACAATGAGATATCTCAATCTGTGACTGAATGGCTATTATTCAAAAGAAGCTCTTATATTCTGTTGGTGGAAATGTAAATTAGTGAACCCACTGGAAAGCAATATGAAGATTTCTTAAAAAAAAAAACTAGAAATAGACTTGCAATATGATCTAGTAACCCCACTACTGGTTACATACCCCCAAAACACAAATTCATTGTATCAATGAGATAGATGCACCATCATGCTTGTAGCAGCATTATTCACAACAGCCAAAATGAGGAACCAATGAAGGTGACCATCATCAGAGGAATGGATAAAGGAAATGGAACATTATTCAACTATAAAATGAATGAAATTCTAGCATTTGCATAAAAGTGGATACAACTTGAGGACATCATGTTGTGTGAACTAAGTGGACACAGAAGGACAAATACTACATGGTTTCCCTTATATGTGAGCTAAAATTTAAAAAGAAATACAAACAAATAAAAAGAAATGCCTGGGTGTATCAGTATTCCTGCAGATATGGTTTTGTCAACCTTTGTTTTATATCTATGTCAAACCAGTGGTTAAGAATGATATAATAGTACAGACTTAATGATCTGTGATTATTTGAATAAAATGGACATCTTTTCATTTGATTATGGTTTTTAGCCCTTGCCTATATTTCCACTTAACTAGGGACTTTTTACTGGTTGTATTCTTTATTTAATGGAGCATTATACCTTTGAAAGTAATGTAAACTAAAAATATGCTCTTTTGAAAGCTGAAAGAAAGAGAAAGAGAAATACAAGAAAAAGGGAGTGAGTAGGGTGGGAACCAACATTATACTCTTAAAATTGTATCTATGAAATACATGGAATCTATTATATCTATTAACATCATATTAACATGAAAATTAATGAGAATTGTGTCATGGTAATTACCATGCATTTGCTGTGTGGATAAATTCCTTTAAAACAATAATATAAAATAAAAAGTAAATACAATTT